TACCAATTTGGATGCCTTTGATTTCCCTTTCTTGCCTTACTGCCCTGGCTAGGACTTCCAGTACAATATTGAATAGAAGTGGTAATAGAGGGCATCCTTGTCTGTGTCCTGTTTGCAGGGGGGAATGGTTTCAGTCTCTCTCCATTGAGAATAGTGTTGGCTGTTGGTTTTGCATAGATGCCCTTTATTATGTTGAGGAATGTCGCTTCTGTCCCTATTTTGCTGAGAGTTTTGATCAGGAATCGCTGTTGGATTTTATCAAATGCCTTTTCTGCATCAATTGATATGATCATGTGGTTCTTTTCTTTTGTTTTATTTATGTGGTGGATGATATTGATTGTTTTTCTAATGATGAACATTCCTTGCATACCCGATATGACCCACTTGATCATAATGAATTACTTTCTTGATATGTTGTTGGAGTCTATTGGCTAGGATTTTGTTGAAGATTTTTGCATCTACATTCATGAGGGATATTGGTCTGTAGTTTTCCTTTTGAGTGATGTCTTTGCCTGATTTTGGTATCAAGGTTATGCTTGCTTCATAAAATGAATTAGGGAGGATTCCATCCTTTTGTATGTTTTGGAATAATTTGAGTAGGACTGGTGTCAGTTCTTCTCTGAGTGTTTGGTAGAATTCTGCAGTGAAACTGTCTGGGCCAAGACTTTTTCTTGTTGGTAATTCTTTATATGACCTGTTCAATTTCTCCTTATGTTATGGACCTGTTCAACTTTTCTACCTCAGTCTGTGTTAGTTTAGATCAGTGGTGTGTTTCTAGAAATCTGTCTATTTCTTCCAGATTTTCAAATTTTTTGGAGTGCAGTTCTTCCTAGTATCCTGATACTATCCTTTTTATTTCAGTTGGTCCTGTTGTGATGTCGCCCACTTCTTTTCTTACTCATGTTATTTGTTTTCTCTTCCTCTTTTCCTTTGTTAAATTTGCCAGTACTCGTTGGCTTTTGTATTTTTGAGAGAGCAGTTTTTCATGGTAGTTTTTAAAATTCTCTTTGTGTTTCACAATGCTAGAATTATTGCAGTTGCTTTGGAAATACTTAAATGAAAGAATTCTGGAAGGATATAAATAACACAGTGAGTGACTCCGAAGTTCATTATCTGCTACAGTTGGCCTGTTTTGTTTTAGCCTAAGACTTTTTAAAAATAATTTTGTTTTGGGTAATATTAGTGGCTGTGTAATTTAGGAAATCAGCAGTTAGAAAAATTATTTGAAGCTTCTTGAAGCAATTGGGGCTGCATCAGGCACTTTCTTCTCACCGTTCTCAGGGCACTCGATGCACCGTTCTATTATAACATTTAACATATTTCATTGTACTTTCATCTATTTACATCTCTCTTTACCACTGGACTGAGCACCCAGAAGGCAGGAAAATGTCTCCTACAGAACTTGGCTGACAAAAGTGTACACTAGTATTTGCCCTGTGTTCCACACCACTGTTTTCTGTACCCTGCTTCTGCCAAAACTACCTCATCTTTCTTCAGTACAGTGCTTCTCATATGAGAAGTCAAGGTGAGGTTCCATGGCTGTATTCAGAGTTCTAAGAACTCAATACACAAATTTTCACATATACTTTACATTTTATTAAATGAAAAGCATATTTTGAGTCATCATGATGAATAGGTTAGCATAACTGATCCACTAAACTGATGGCAATTAACTTAATAATTCAATATTTCTCAAACAGGCCCACAGAGGGTTCCACAGGCATGTTCTCAGGGGTCTCAATTTATGTTTGGGAATGTTGCCATGAGGCACAGTTAGACACAGTTAAAGTGTCACCTTCTTGGAAATGCCTCCCTCAGGTCTCCCAGTCAAGTATCTCCATAGCACTTACTGCACTGTGTGTCATATCTGTGCTATGGGTTTTTCCCACTATCACTCTGACTCCTAACCACCTGGAGTGAGACCTCTGTTCCTGTTACACTTTTTACAATTATGGTACAGCACTCACTGAGCTATTTGACAATTCAGTAGCTGACAAATCTGTCTCCCCTTCTGGATATGAGCATCTGAAGGAAGACTAGGGAAAAAAATCTGCTTTTTGTCTTGAACACCCAGCACAATTCTTTCTTGGCACAATAAGCACTCACTAAATTGGTCAAACAGAATCATGATTTGATGATAGCATTCTGCAGGAAAACACATTTTTAAAGTCTTCGGATTGGTTTGAAATGAGATTTGTTGTGGTTATTGATTTTTCATGTCTTGAAATTTTTTGTTCTTCTAAAGGTTTTTCTGTAGATATTTTTACCTTTGATGTTTGTCTTTAAACATGGGAAACATTGATTTTTCTAATCTGTGTCTAATTCCGATATCATTAGTCTGTGGCCCTGTTTCTTCTGTCTGTTTCTAAGCTGAAACATGTTGCTTGGTTTTCTCGTGTGTTGGCTATATTTAACTACTTGCTAGTCATTTAAAAAAATTTTTGAGGTAAAATTCACAAAATAAATCTTTTTAAAGAACTTACCTATGCTGAGTTTTTCATATAATTGGCATCATACTATATGTGACCTTTTGTGACTGGCTTCTTTCACTTACCATGTTTTTGAGGTTTATCTGTGTTTTGAAATATATGTGTACTTCATTCTTTTTATAGTTTAATAATAGTCCATTGTGTGAATTTACTACATTTTATTTATCCATTTATCAGTTGGTGGAAAGTTGAGTTGCTTCCATCTTTTGGCTATTGTTGAATAGCACCGCTTGGTCATGGCTTTTTAATATTATTTGTTAGAAGGCTCCAAGGACTAGTATGAATCTTGGGGAAATCTGTATGTCTGCTGGGATACTGAGGACAATTTCAGTCTGGGATTCCCTGGACCAAGCAAGCTCACAATTTGAAGTTCTCTGGCTCATCCAGGTTTGAGGCTCAAAGGGCTGGTTTATGGCCACCATTTCTCTACATGGTCTATTTTAGAATTTCCTTTCTTCTCTTTGATTTGACCACTCTGACTTTCTTTATGGTCCTCTAAGTTTGGGGGTGGTTCAAACCCACCAGCCACTCTTCAGAAGGAAGGCAATCTACGTCTGTAGTGAGTGATACTGCCTTGGAGGAGGGTTCGTTATAAGTTGGGGCTGACTCGATGGCACGTAACAACAACAATAAGTTTGGGAGCAGCAGTTTTGATGCTGGTTATTTTCCTAAAGAGATAGTGGTTTGAGCCCCAATCTATATGTGAGGAGGAGCTCTTATCAGATTTGCCAACTTGTGTAGACTCTGGCCTTGGCTATTCCTCTCTTGTTCCTTCTTTGTGAGGTCACAGAACTGAAACCCAAGTCAATTGATGGCAATTGGCTCTTACTTCTCTTGATCCTCCCCCCCCCCAAAAAAAAAAAACTGGCCTTGGAGGTCTCTTTTTATTTCCTTCCTGCCTGCCTGGTTTGCTTTTTTTATTTTATTTTCTAGCAGGAGAGTTCTGAATAATCTAACGTACTACTTCTGGAAACTGGAAGTCCAAAAATCAATCTAGAGATAGAAATAAATACCAATTGAGTATAAGCCTTAAAATAGTTATTCCATTTTGGGCTTCATTAAAATTTGTTAGTCAAAGCAGATAATATAGATCATAAACCAGTATAAAAAATATTGGCTTAACTTACTGGAGTTCATTCATTAAACTTACCATCAATCACTTCCAATTGCAAATAATAGGAATCAAACAAACTGGCTTAAGCACCAAAGGGATTGATTGGCTCAAATTGAAATCTTGGGATGGATGGCTTTCAGACACAGCTAGATCCAGGAACTCAAACAGTGTCAGTAGGCTAAGTTTCTATCTTGTCTTCTTTCTCCAGTGTTATTTCTACTCTCTGGTAAGCTCTGTAGTGGTGATAGGGCATCTAGAAATTCCAGACTCATGGCCTATGCTTTATGTCTGTGATCTCCAAACTGTGTTGATTGTATTCCTGACAGTAAAAGTCAAGCACATATCCCCAATGAGTATATTTATTTATTTATTACATACTACTATTATACTATATAAGGAGCTCTAGTGGCACAGTGCCTAAGGCATTTGACTGCTAACCAGAAAGCTGGCAATTCAAATTCACCAGCCACTCCATGGAAAGAAGACTGGGCAATCTACTTCTGTAAATATTTGCCACCTTGGAAACCCATTGGAGGTCGCTGTGAGTCGGAAGCAACTTGACGGCAGTGAGTTTGGTTTGTTTTTGGTTTATTACACTATATGCTGTATTAATTATTGTTGTTAGTTGCCATCAAGTCAACTCTGACTCATGGCAATGCTATGTACAACAGAACAAATCACTGCCCAACCCTGTGCTGTCTTCACAGGATTGTTGGTATGCTGAAGTCCACTGTTCCACTGTATATTTTAAATGCCTTCCAACTAGGGGCTCATCTTCCAGCACTATATAAGACAGTATTCTGTTGTGATCCATAAGGTTTTCATTGGTAATTATCAGAAGTAGATCACCAGGCCTTTCTTCTTAGTCTGTTTTAGTTTGGAAGCTCTGCTGAAACCTGTGCATCACATATGACCCTGCTGGTGTTTAAATACCAGTGACATAACTTCCAGCATCATAGCAACATGCAAGCCACCACAGTATAACAGACCAAGAGCTAGATGGTAGTATTAATTGTGAATAGAGTTCAGTTGTTTACTTTTTAAGGTAATGATATTTTCTTTACTCTCAGTGGATGTTTTTGCATACCCTATGTGGTAGTTCATAAGGTTTTCCCTGGCCAATTATTTGAGAAGTGGACGGCCTCCTCTTTCTTCCTGGTCTGTCTCAGTTTGTAAGCTGGGCTGATACCTGTGCACCATGTGCATCCTGCTGGGATAGAAACACCAGTGGCTCAGCCTCAAAACTCACATTAACATGTCACCACGGTAGGACAAACCAACAGACAAGTTTGCCTCCCTGTTGGAAACCTCCTGTTCCACCCTTACCTGGGTCCCTGAGGCTGACTCCTCCTCTGTCCAGATTCCTAGGCCTTTTAATCCCCTTTCTCCCACTCTCCCGCACTGCTGCTTTGGGCATGCCTGAGTTCCTCTCCTCACCTGGATTCCTGCAGCTGACTGCTCCTCTGTCTGAGTTCCTGGCTTTTAATCCCCTTTTTCCTGTTCTCCCGCACTGCTGTTTTGGGCGTGCCTAAGTTCCTCTCCTCACCAGGATCCCTGCGGCTGACTGCTCCTCTGTCCGGGTTCCAAGGAGGGGTCACTATGACTTGGGGCTTGCTTGATGGCACATGACAACAACAACAATTGCCATAGTGTGGATTCCATCTCATGACAACCATCCTGTGTGGTGTTGTTTTTGTTATGTGCCGTCGAGTCAGATCTGACCCATAGCGACCCCTCCTTGGGTTTCCGAGGCAGTATCACTACAGAAGTAGATTGTCTCATCTTCCTTCCAAGGAGTGGCTGGTGGGTTTGAACCACCAGCCTTCTGATTAGCAGTCAAGTGCCTTAGGCACTACGTTATCAGAGCTCCCAACTATCCCGTGTGTCAGAGCAGAACTGTGCTCCACAGGGGGTTTAAGGGCTGTTTCCTTTTGGAAGTAGATCTCCAGGGCTTTGTTCTGAGTGCACCTCTGAGTGCACTTAAAACTCTATCCTTTCAGTTACTGGCTGAGCGTTTTGATTGTTTGCACCACCCAGGGACTCCACAAATAGAGATACTATTTTAACTTTTTTAAGGTATTTATAATTTGCAATTTTGTAATCACTGATATCCAAGAAAAAGAAACATAATCCTTTCAGTACAAATGTATAAAACGAAGATTCTCTACTTCCACAGTGGTTTAATTCCATTAATCTGTACTAAATTTCTGTGATTTTTATATCTGGAGTATCATGAAAGTGTCCCATCTAACTTTTGTTCACATGCACACAATTTCTTCTCATATTCCAGTGATGGTGAATGCTATACGTTATGGTATAAAAATAAAATTAAAAAAAAAAAACCCTCAATGCTGTCAAGTCAGTTCCCACTCGTAGCAACCCCTCCTTGTGATTCTGAGTCAGTATCTCTACAGAAGTAGATTGACTAGTCTTCCTTCCGTGGAGTGGCTGGTAGTTTGAACTGCCAGCCTTCTGGTTAGCAGTCAAATGCCTTAGGCTCAATGCCACCAGAGCTCCTATGTTAGGATATAAGAATCAATAAATACTACAAATAAAAAAAAAAATCCTATTTCTGTAACTTTTGAGAATGACACATTTGAACAAAATGGGTGGCAATGTGGAAGGGCAGGTTTTTTAGATTCTAAAGTAGAAAGAAGTTTACTGGTTGGAGAGTTTTTGTTTGTAAACAGACTGGATAAAACATGTGAACAGAAAAGTATTGTTCAAGATCTTTCTGGTTGACAGGCTCTTCTGTGTATTTAAAAATTGATCTTCTGTGGCAGAAATGTGATGGCCCATCTTGATTCTGAGGTGAAGGAAGAATGTCTGAGGGAAGACTTGAAGTTTTACTTCATGAACCCTTGTGAAAAATACCGAGCCAGATGCCAAATTCCATGGAAACTGGGTTTGCAGATTTTGAAGATACTCATGGTCACCACACAGGTAATATATCTTATCATTGCATTCAGTTTATTTCTTACCCCAAGATGAAACTGTTTTCACATGTTCTGCCACTTGACTTTTGTTATGAAAAGTCTACACTCAAGTTCATAAAACTGTAAAATTATGTTGACTCTGGAGGACAGATGGTAGGTTGTAGTTCAGTTTAGATGAGGACCTCCTTTTAGTAAAGATCATGAGATCATCTCTCCCGCAGTTCTGTAAATGCTGGATAAATGGCAGATCTGTATTGAGTGGGGGCTTTCTGTATCTGAGTGAGGCAGTCAGAGGCTGCTCAGTCCACGATGATTTGTGTTCCTGACATCTCTCATCTTTATTTAAATACACTTTATTCAAATACGCTTTTAAAATCTGTAGTTTTAAATTTATAAAATGCCAAGTTTCCCCTCTTTGAGTCGCTATGTGCTGTAAGTAAATACTAATCCCAGGGTACTATACAAAGGCTGCATTGGCTCTTTTGTTTAAATTCATATTGTTGAGCACTTTATCACCAGTATCATATCCTCACTGCCATTCATAAGGTTTTCAGTGGCCAATATTTTTCAGAACTGGATGGCCCCGTCCTTCTTCCTAGTTTGTCTTAGTCTGAAAGCTCTGCTGAAACTTGTCCACCATGGGTGACCCTGCTGGTATTTGAAATACCAGTGGCATAGCTTCCAACATCACAGCAACGTGCAAGCTACCACAGTATGACAAAAAGACAGATGAGTGGTGGACCAGGCAGTGTTTCATTCTGTTGTACACGGGGTCGCTATGAGTCAGAGCCAACAATAACACCTAACAACAACAACATCATATCCTCAGAAAATGTTACAGTTTAGTCAGTGGGTCTAAGATACATTTACTTTCAACTTCTTTTTTTTAAAAAAATAAACATCTGTTGTTACCTGAGCTCTCAGGACATGGCTTTTTTCTTGCTTAGTGCTTAGTCCCCTTGGTGTCTGTATCACTCATTTCACTTTTAATCATGTATTTCCAGAAACTGATCATGTATTTCCAAAACTGGGTATATCCTCTCTCCTCTAATAAAATGGGAAAGGAACAAACTTTTTTTACCCTTTAGGATCATTCTAGTAGTGAGTGATTTCTACTTGGTACAGATTTCTTGAATACTTTTCTCTTCCTTTGAATCCTACTTTCTTCTCCTCTTTTTCTGTTCCATCCTGAAGTCTAAAGGGATGGCTGGTGTTTTACTCAGGATTGATGAGAAGGAGACTTGCATTTACACAATCCTCTTTGTATGCCGTAGTGATTTATCATCTCAGTGAAATGTCTACATTCTTCTGCCAGTTCTACTCTTTCCCTCCCAGGTTCTTGTACATAATCAGAATGGTATCTAGTTTTACCTGGTACAGAATATTTTCTCCTACTTTGTTTTCATCAGGTCTTAAATTCACATGCTTGCCAGGCTGCACTGTTTTGTGTCATATCCTGAGCAAATTTAAGGTCTAGTTCATGAGATTAAGGTGCAGTTTGTTGTCAAGTCCTTTTTAAAAATCATTTGGCCATAGCCATTATCTGCTCATCTTTGCTCTGCAGGAAGTGTTTGGTTCCTCCAGAGCAAGGGTGCTTCTTGGTTTCCTTCCTCTGGTTTGTTTTTCCTATAAAGAGATGCTCTGAAAATCTCACTCCTTACTCGTTTCAGCCCTTATCTGATACTGGGTCGTACATGTGGATCATGGTTTCTTCTAGGAGCTATAGGATGCAGGAATTTTTTTTTGTCCCCAGTACCAGATGAGGATTATTCCAAATAGATATTACAACTCCCATTCTGTCATTCCCAGATTAAGTTGGTGAGTTTGGCCACAACCAGCTACCCAGAGGGAGTGAGTAGTTGGATCTGTGGGCTCGGGACCTTGGTCGCAGGGAACAGCAAGCTCAATTGGCATAATATACTACACTAAAATATTAGTGACTGGGATCTTAAAAGCTTGCAAGCAGCCATCTAGATGCAATGATGGGTCTCTCTTCATCCAGAGCAAAGAATGAAGAAAATCAAAGACACATGGAAACTATTAGTCCAAGTGACTGGTACACCATGCGATCCTCAGCCTATATGACTATGAGACCAGAAGAACTAGATGGTGCCTGGCTACCACCATCAACCACTTAGAGGGGGAATCTTTGTAGAAAATCCTGGATAAAGTAGGATAACAATGTGGAACAAAACTTAAAATTATTAAAAAAAAAAAAAAAAAAAGGACCAGGTTTGCTGATCTTATAGAGCCTGGAGGAACCCTGAGACTATGACCCCTAGCTGCCCTTCAGATATGGAATAGAATCCACTCATCTGACTTCCAGCCAAACAGAAGACAGGCATATGAGCTGAACATTTACATTAGGTAGATAGACTCCTTGGAAAGATCAATCATGGGAGAATAGAAGGTCTGTGTTTGCACAGGGAAACAGATCTGGGGGCAGGAGTGCATAGGAGGGAAGGACACAGGGAAGAGGTAATATGGGGAGGAAGTAGGAGGGAAGCTGTTGCATTGTGGGAAATTTCAGTCAATGTCATGAGACAGTATATGTGAGCTGCTATATGGAAAATGAATTTGCTCTGTAAACTTTCACCTAAACCACAATAAAATTTTTTTTTTTTTTTAGGTCAGAAAAAATATAAACCACTTTTTACAATATATATCAGTTTGCATATACAAATGAACATTTGCTTCATCTGAATGGTTCAATAATTGAGATGCCTTGTTTATTGCTATGCAGACATATCATATTGAACCATAGAATGACAGCAAATGACAGAATGATTGGGATCATCTCATTTCACACATGAAGAAACAAGAGTCCCAAATTGCTTCGGTGACTTAGTCAAGATGTTGCATTGTGGGAATTGCAGTCAATGTCACAAACAAAATGTGTGTGATTGTTGAATGGAAAACCAATTTGCCCTGTAAACTTTCATTCAAATCACAAATAAAAGTTAAAAAGAAAGAGATCACCCAGTTCTAATAAGTGGAAGGGTAAGGACTTGGACAAACTTTCTAGACTCTCATTATCTTAAGAGGAAGCCACTGAAGAGATAATATGGGTAGGTGGAGAGGGGAGTATAGGCCAAGTCTGCAGAGATTGACTTCCCTTTTTCCTCTGCCCATGTATGCACGTGTGCACATGTGTGTGAATGAGAGAGAGAGGAGAGAGACACTGTGCGTGTGTGTGTGTGTGTGTGTCTTATTGGCCTTTTGCAAATTTTTAACATTCACTAACTTTCTCTACTTACGGGGTTTCAAAAAGAAAACTCCTTTCTTTTTGAATCCAGTATATGGATGACACCTCAACATAAAGAAAACAAAATTCCTCACTCCTCACTCTTGGACCAATAAACATCATGATAAACAGAGAGAAGACTGAAGGTGTCAAGGATTTCATTTTACTTGGATCTACAAGCAATACCCAGGGAAGCAGCAGAAATGACATATTGCATTGGACAAATCTGCTGCAAAAGACCTCTTTAAAGTGTTAAAAAGCAAATATGTCACTTTGAGGACTAAAGTGTGCCTGATCTAGCTGTGGTATTTTTAATCACCTCATATGCATGTGAAAGCTGGGCAATGAGTAAGGAAGACCAAAGAGGAACTGATGCCTTTGAATTTTGGAGTTGGTGAAGAATATTGACTATACCATGGATTTCCAGAAGAACAAACAAATCTATCTTGGAAGAGCTACAGCCAGAGTGCTCTTAAGAAGCAAGCATGGTGAGACTTTGTCTCACATGCTTTCTTTGTTTGTTTCTATTTTATTATTATTTAAAAAATTCCTTTACATGTATCAAATCCATCTCTTAATTATCCGTCTATTTTCCCTCCCTCCCCTTTCCTGGTTACCAACAAAGAAAATTTCCTCACAAACTTTGGATATGTTATCAAGAGAGACCAGTTCCTGGAGAAGGACATCATGCTTGGTAGTTGTTTTTGTTGTTGTTATGTGACATCGAGTTGGCTCTGACTCATAGCGACCGCTCTTGGGTTTTCGAGGCAGCATCACTACGGTAGGTGGTCAGTGAAAAAGAAGAAGACCCTCAGTGAGATGGATTGACACAGTGGCTGCAACAGTGGTCTCAAACACAGCAACAGTGGTGAGGATGGTTGAAGACTGGGCAATGTTTTGTTCTATTGTACATAGAATCACTATGAGTTCAAACCACATTGATGGCACCTAACAACAAAAACAACAGCAAGAAAACTTTAGGCAGAAAGAGCACTTTCACTCCTGGTGATGAAAGCCTTTGGGGGCCTAACCTTATGCCAGGAGTCTATGTGAGGAAGAAGTAGGAGTTTCACTCCCGGAAGATGGTGCTTAGTGACAGTGAGTAGGTTTGACATCATGTAGGTAAAGCAAGCTCTGTAGTTCTTTCATGTACTATGATAACTGTAGATCTTGGAGATGGAAACTTCTTTCTTAAAGGAGAATTCTGGCAGGGCTGGATTATTTTAATTCCTTTGACAGGAATCCTAGCTGGAGCAAGGATCCTACATGGCATTTTTTCAAAAACATTCTTAAAAGACATTTAAAACATAGTTGTGATTTTTTTTTATAAAATACTTGTAATTTCTAAATGTTAGATGAGTGAAATATGAATTACTGCTAAATATGAATTATCAATTTTTAAAACAGTTCATTTGAAATCTCAAGTATGAGAAAATGTACTAAACTTAACTGATTTTGGTTCTTCTTTTTTCCCTTAAGGACCAAGCGGTTCCTTGTCATTGGGAATAGTCATTTTTTTTTGTGAGTTTGATGTTATTTTCAATTGCTGATATACATAATGAGGCCATTGTTTCACTTGGGCTTGTATTTTGACATTGATGCTAGGACTATACACCAAAGAAATGAAACTTTTCTCATTGTTGTTTATAGACGAGAATTACTCAAATTGAGCGGGAACAGAGGGCAAAAGTGTAAGAGAAGTAAAAATATGTAGTGGTGTTCATGATGATAAGGCATCTGCCTTCCCTGGTAAATGGTAAATTCATATATTCCTATTTAATTTTCTTTTCTAGCTTGTTCGTTTTGGCTTAAGTAACCAGTTGGTGGTTGCTTTCAAAGAAGATAGCACTGTTGCTTTTAAACACTTGTTTATGAAAGGCTATTCTGGCGTAGATGAAGATGATTATTGTTGCAGTGTGTATACGCAAGAGGACGCCTATGAGAGCATCTTTTTTGCCATTAATCAGGCAAGTGTTTCACTGTGAATAATGTATACTTTTTTGGGGAGGGGTTAAAACAATGAAAATTTATTTTCTCTCAGTTCTGGAAGCCAGAAGTCAGAATTCAGGGTGTCAGCAGGGCCATGCTCTCTCGAAGTGTCTAGGGAGAGATCCTTCCTTATCTCTTCTAGCTTCCAGTGGTCTCGGACATCCTTTGGCTTCTTGCAGCATCACTCCAGTCTCTATCTCTAGGTCACATGGCCATCTTCCGTCTGTTTGTCTCTTTGTGTCTCTCTCTCTCTCCCTTTTTTTAATGCATTTTATTGAAATATAATTTATGTACCTGGTAGCATAGTGCCTAAGGCACTGGACTGCTAACCAGAGGGCTGGTGGTTCAAACCCACCAGCAACTCCTCGGAAGGAAGATGGGGCAATCTACTTCCGTAGTGACGGTGCCTTGACAACCCAAGGAGGGGTCTCTGTGAGTCGGGTCTGACTCGACGGCATATAACAATTAACAAATAACAACACAAAACTAAAGTGACGTGTCAATGCATTTTTTTTTTACCAACAAAGAAAGTTTCCCTCCATATATAAACCTTTCCTTAACCTTCCACAACAAAGAACAAATACTATATTTGTCCTTTTGTGATTGACTTATTTCACTCAGTATAATATCCTCCAAGTTCATCCATATTATGTGGTGTTTTGCAGACTCTATATTATTCTTTAGTGCTGCATGTTGTTGTTGTTGTTACGTGCCATTGAGTTGGACCTGACTCATAGCAACCCCTCCTTGGGTTTCTGAGGCAGTATCACTACGAAAGTAGATTGCCTAACCTTCCTTCTGAGGAGTGGCTGTTGGGTTTGAACCACCAGCCTTCTGGTGAGCAGTCAAGTGCCTTAGACACTATGCCACCAGAGCTTCCATTATGTGTATGTACCATAGTTTGGTCATTTACTCTTCTGCTGATGGGCATGTAGATTGTTTCCATCTTTTTGCTATTGCAAATAATGCTGTGATGAACATGAGTGTACATGTATCTGTTCCTGTCCTGCCTCTCACCTCTCTAGGATATATACCTAGTAATAGGATTGCTGGGTCAAATGGTATCTCTAATTCCAGCTTTCTAAGGAATTGCTATATTGCTTTCCACAGTGTTTATATCACTTCACAGTCCCACCAGCAGTGTATGAGTGTCCCAATCTCTCCATATCCCTGCCAGCATTTGTTATTTTCTGTCTCATTGAACCTTGCTATCAGTGCTGGTGTGATACGGTATCTCATTGTTGTTTTGATTTGCATCTCTCTGATGGCTAATGATCGTGAGTATCTCTTCATGTATTTGCTGGCCGCCTGAATATCCTCCTTGGTGAAGTGTCCATTTATGTCTTCTGCCCATTTTTCAATTGGATTGTTAATTCCTTTGGTGTTGAGGTGTTGGAGTTTTCTATAAATCTTAGAGCTAAGTCCCTTGCCAGATATGTAGTTATCAGCAAATATGAATTTGTTGTTGTCATTTTTGTTATATGCTTTTTCATGGTGTCGATTTCTTTGTTCTATATAATTTTCTATGTGGAACTCATTTTATGAATCATGTTATCACTTCCTTCATTGCTATTGCTTTAGTATTTGCTAAATATTTGTACCGGTCCTCTTTTTAATTTTGAGGTGAAGGTTTATCATTTTGCTTTGAGGTTACCCTGTGATTTATAGTTTTCTTGCCAAGTTTAGAACAGTCCATTCTATCTTGTAGTTGTCTTGACTTCCCTAACATCTAGAAATTCTGTTAATGACAGTTTTTTTTTCCCTTTTTTTGGTTTGTAGTTGTCCTCATTTGTCCATTGATGTCTCTGGTTCCCTGTTTACAGTCTTGTAGGCTTATTTACTTTGGATACTTCCATAGCTGGGTTGGTTTCTGGGTTATATCATCACGTGTGTTAATAGTCAGTTGTTGGCTATTGCTGCTTCTCTGTCCAAAGGACTCCATTTAGCATCTCTTGTAAGCTTGGTCTGGTTTTAACAAATTCCCTTAATTTCTGCTTATCTGGAAATGTCCTTATTTCACCATCATATTTGAGGGACAGTTTTGATGGGTACCTAATTCTTGGTTGGAAATTTTTATCTTTCAGGGTTTTATATATACCTTCCCATTGTCTTCTTGCCTGCATGGTTTCTGTCAAGAAATCCGAGCTTAGTCTTATTGGTTGCCCCTTGTAGGTAACTTTTTGTTTTTCCCGTGCTGCTTTCATGATTCTTTCTTTGTCTTTGGTTTTGGTGAGTTTGATGATGATATGTCTTGGTGATTTTCTTTTGTGATCTATCCTGTTTGGGGTTCGTTGGACCTCCTGAATGGATATATTCTCATCTTTCTTCATACCAGGAAAATTCTCTTCCAACAAATCTTCGATAATTTTCTCAGTGGTTTTATTTGTCTCTTCCTGTTCTGGAATTCCAATTACACATAGGTTATTCCTTTTGATGGCATCCCACATGAACCTTAGGCTTTCTTCATTTTGTCTTGATCTTTTTTTCTAATTGATCCCTTTCCAAAGAAGTGTTCAGGTATTTGCCTCAATCTCACCAATTCTGTCTTTCATTGATTCAGTTCTGCTCCTTTGTCTATTCACTGTCTTATCTCTGAAAATTTAGTATTAATCTTCTGGATTTCCATCTGAAGATTTTGTATCATTTCTAATTTTTCTTTTTTGTCATTTTGTTCTTGTATTATCTTTTGAAATTGTTCTAGTGTTTTCTCTGTGTTTCCTTGGTCTGTCTCTCAATTTGTTGAAGATACCTAAATGTAATTCTTTTGAATTCCTTATCAGGGACTTCCAATGCTGCTTTTTCTTCAGGGATGTGTTTTGGTCTGTATCCTGGTCCCTTGTTTCTCTTGCTTTATGTTGCTTCTTTGTGTGAACTGTGATGCTCTGTTGTCTCCGAGGCATTGTGACATTTTGTGTTTATATTTAATTGGTGATTGTACATTGGAGTGACTTGCCCATGATTTTCATTTTCTTTGTTTTGTTTGTATGTTATCTACTAAGCAGCGTACTGTGCTGTGCTCCTCTATTCATTAGTTGACTGCACTTATACACTCACCACCTGTCTCCTTTCCTGTTGTCAGCCTCTTTTATGTCCTTGCCGACCTTGGCAAACAGAGCCTATTCCTAGATCCCTGGAATCAGAATGAGAATGCTATCACTTTAAAATCCAAAATGGTTGCCACTTGTAAAGATCCAACATGGCTGCGCCTTCAGTCACTTTAAATATCCAAAATGGCCACTGCTTATAAATATTCAAAATGGCTGCACCCTCAGTCACTTTAAATATCCAAAATGGCTGCTGCTTATAAACATTCAAAATGGCTGTGCCCTCAGTCACTTTAAATATCCAAAATGCTGCTGCGTGTAAACAATCAAAATGGCTGCATCCTCCGGACAGCAGAAAGTCAACAGCTCAGGTTGCCTCCCTCCCTTCCTAGTCGTAGGCCACCAGCAGTCATCCCTGCAGCCCTTGGTGGCTAGGGCTGATCTTTAGGTCAATTCTCAGGTCCCACTACCACTTGGAAATATTCAGCCTGTTGGTCCTTTCAGGGTAGCTGACAGTCTGCAGCTCCGACCATCTCTGTACTCACTGTTTTCATTCAGGTTTTTCCACTAGTTGGTGCCTAATTCACTTCTGTATAGTTCCTTTCAAAGCTCAGGGCTCCAGGATTATGTTCTGTATCTCTGTCAATTGGTTTTTCTTTTCTTTGTTGAAGAGGGTCTGTGTCCCTTGTCCTCCATTTTACTGGAAGTCCCTGAATGATGTATACTTTAAGAACATTTTTTTTTAAAAGAATATATTGATATGCATATATTGATATATTCTAATGTATCTTATAATATGCCACAATTGTTCATTGCTATCTCTATAATTACATTTTCACATAAAACCTTATTTTAAGTTTTTCTTTAAGATTTATCTTTTTATTTGTACCTTTACACCTACTGCCTTTGGGAGATTACTTTACCCTAGACCAAATAGCCTAGGAGCTCTGGTGGCATAGTTGCCTAAGGCATCTGACTACTGACCAGAAGCCTGGCGATTCAAACCCACCAGCCACTTCTCAGAAGGGAGACTGGGCAATCTACTTCCATAGTGATACCACCTTGGAAACCCAAGGAGGGGTTTCTATGAGTCAAATCGATTGGATGGCAGTAAGTTTGGTTTCGTTTTTTGAGACCAAATAGCCTAGAGTAGATTTATAATCTGGGAAGTTTTGATGAATGAGTTGACAAATCTAAGATTCTAGAGTCTCTATTTTACTGTCGTTCCATTAATAATCCTGGCTGATTCTTAAGAATATGGAGGACAAACAGGAGTGCATGAATGTGAAGGGTACAAGGGGAGGGTTATAGGGTGGGGGGGGGAAGAGTCTAGGTTAGGATTGGACATGGTGAATGGGGAATGAAACCAAATGTTACAAGTTACATTGAATGTAAAACAACCTCTTAAAATAAAAATTTAAAAAAAAGAATATGGAGTATGATGGGATATAGTTGTATTTAGGCAAATATGTCAAGGAGCTCTGGTGGCACAGAAGTTAGGTACTTGGCTGCTAACTAAAAGGCTGACAGTTTGAACCCCACCCCACCCCACCCCCCGCAGTAGCTCTGTGGGAGACACACCTGCAATCTGTTCCCATAAAGATTACAGACTAGAAACCCCTATAGGGTAGTTCTACTCTGTCACATGGGCTCACTAATGAGTCAGAATTGACTTGATGGCACCTAACAACAAAAGGCAGATATGAGAATTAAAGAAAGCATTTAGGAAGAGGATATGTTATTCTTTCATTCATTTATTCATTTAATAAATAAATATTTTAGTACCTAGTATGTATCAAGGAGCTTTGGTGGCACTGTGGTTAAAGCACTGGGCTTCTAACCCAAAGGTAGGCGGTTCAAATCCACCAGCCACTCTGGGGAGAAAGATGAGGCTGTCTGCTTCCATAAAGATTTACAGCCATGGAAACTCTATGTAGCAGTTCTTTTCTGTCCTACAGGGTTGCTATGAGTCAGAATTGACTCAATGGCAGTGGGTTTGGTTTTGGTTTAGTATATACCAGGTACTGTTTTAGACACTGGAGATATAGCAGTGACTGAAATAGACAAAAACTCTGTCCTTGTTGCATTTAATTCTAGTGAAGAGAACTAGACAAATGAAAAGAAGCCAAATGTATAGTATCAAATGCTGGCTGCCTAAAACACCATAGTGGTAAGCAGGGCTGAGCTAATAGTTTATAGCACTCAGGGAAATACAGGAGCACTGGTGGTGTAGTGCCTAAGCTATTTGACTGCTGACTAGAAGGCTGGAGGTTCAAACCCACCAGCCACTCTCAGGAGGAAGATTGGGCAGTCTGCTTCCATAGTGATACCACCTGGAACCCCAAGAAGGGGTTGCTATGAGTCCAACTTGATGGCAGTAAGTTTGGTTTTTTTGAAGGGAGATACTATCTTTATAAGTCTCAGTAATGCTTGGATGGGGAGGGCAAAGTCCAGACAGAGGTTTTGGAATCTGGTGAGGGAAGCGCTTGATTAGAATTGGGTAAATTAGTGATGGAGTAGTTTAGGATTCTTTGAACTCACATTAAGGTGAGGGTTTGAGGGATTTCAAAGAGTCTTGGAGTTGTTATCAAATTAAATTTTAAAATTGATATTAAATCAGAAATGGGTTTAAACAAGTGGGTTTTTCAGATGTTCCTGAAATGAACAGGACAGTTCGTTCACTTTTATGTTCCTGGGTAAGAGTTTCCTGGAATTATAAAGTTAGATTAACGAAGATAGGGAGCTAGTAAAGCCTGTTAGTGCAGATAGTGAACTAAAGTAGGTGAATGTGGAGTGTGGCTGGCTCGGTTCTCTGTGGGATGTCAGAAAGTGGTAACTGCTATGGAAGGGTGGGAGTCACTAGGAAGTGCCTGGGTGCTGTGATGACTGTTTGCACTCCATTTGCATATGGAGGTGGTGAAGGAAGGTCTCAGTGAGAAGGTGATACTTGAGTCAACACTTGTAGGAGTGAACCAAGCAGATAGATAGCTGGGGTTCTAGACAGCAGGAACAGCAAAGGCCAGAGGCAGAAATAAGCCTGGTAAGGTCCAGGAACTGCCTGGAGGCCAGTGTGGGTGGGGCGGTAGTCAGCAATGAGGTCAGCAAGATAAGGAAGGACCTTGGCTTTGGTTCTGAGTGAGTTGGGAAGCTCTGTTACCAAGTTTACTTTCGTTTTGAGTTCTGTGAGGCAGTGTGTTCCTGCACAACCTGAGAAAATGACTTTGTGGTATTTTAATCTGAGCATTTGTGTTGATACAAGCAATAATAAAAAAAAATAGCTAAAAGTGCATGCCATAAGCTATAACTTCTGATCATCAAACTTTTAAAAGCTCATATGTGTTTTTATTTAACTATTTTTAATAGTATCATCGTCTAAAGAACATATCCCTGGGTACCCTTGGTTATGGAGAAACTGAAGACAATAGAATTGGCGTAAAAGTCTGTAAGCAGCATTACAAGAAAGGGACCATGCTTCCTTCTAATGAGACACTAAACATTGACAGCGATGTTGAAACAGGTAATGAATGCACCGGTCATTTGATTGTAAGCTATTATCATCTCTGTGGTAAGAGCAAAAATGCCCTCATGTGGCAACTCAAATAGGACAACTTGTCTTTTGTGAGAGCTCTGGTGGCGTTGTGCCTAAGGCATGTAGCTGCTAACCAGAAGGCTGGTGGTTCAAACCCACCAGCCACTGTTTGGAAGAAAGGTTGCTGGTGATACTGCCTCAGAAACCCAAGGAGGGGTTGCTATGAGTTGGATCCGACTCAACAGCAGTGAGCATCCTATTGGAGGAGTACTTACTATCTGCCTGCAGAGGGCTTTAACTCAGGAAACTGCAACTATAAACAGGGGCAGAGTTCTGGATATCTCTGGTGCAATTCAGGATTGTTGGGTTTAGGGTAACATAGGTATTTCATGTTTGGGTTTTTCCTCCCATGAAGAAGTATTTAAGCTTATTGATAAAAAGGAAAAACAGTCTATGTTTATTAAATGAAATAATGTGTGAGAAAAATGCTTCGGACACTTGTTTTTATTATTTGTAAAATACATAAATGTTGTTCAAAGGTGAATTGTGATTGTTGTTGTTGTTTGCCATCAAGTCGGACCCGACTCAGAGCGAACCCTCCTTGGGTTTCCAAGGCAGTATCACTATGGAAGTAGATTGCCCCATCTTCCTTCTGAGGAGTGGCTGGTGGGTTTGAACCGCCAGCCTTCTGGTTAGCAGTTAAGTGCCTTAGGCACTATGCTACCAGAGCTCCTGAATTGTGATCAGCAGCTCATTTTTTCTTTTAAAAGATAGCAAAAAGTTAACAGCTAATGAAGTAGAAGTGTTTTGTGCTGCTTGTTAAGAATATAAACACATACCTTATGTAAATTAAAGTGTTTGATTTAAGACTGTGGGGGTTTTGTCATTCATTCAGCTGGTGTATACTTGCTATGCCCGAGGCATTCCCTGCTTTATTTAGATGGTTGCAAATATTAATCAATAAATAGCTCCTCAAGTAGCCAACAGTTCAGGAATGGAAGATCTAGTAAGCAGTTTAAATTTGGAATAGTTTCATTAAAATGAAAATGTCACACAACTCATTTGACCATATTTCTTATAATCTGATCTTAAGGTGCCTTGGTAACAAAAATGGGAGAATATCCTTGTAAGTCTATTTGCTCTCCATACACTGCCTGTTTAGAATCTCTTTATGTTGAAATGTGTCCTGTGCTCTTGACTACATCAGCTTAACCAGAACCTTCAGGGGCCCATGCAGTGTCTGCCTCCCAAGTTGCTTTTAGAGACCATGTAGGTAAAGGTCTTAGTTCTAGGTGATAAAATACTGGTGGTTTTACTGTCCTGGAGACTTCTGTTATTCTAAGATCTGTTTGGTAGCTGGCTTGTTATTGTTAGGTGCTGAGTCAGTTCTGACTCACAGTGACCCTGTGTACAACAGGACAAAACACTGCCTAATCCTGTGCCATCCTCACAATTGCTGCTATCTTTGAGCCGATTGTTGCAGCCACTGTGTCAGTCCACCTCATTATGGGTCATCTTCTTTTTTGTTGACCTTCTACCAAGAATGAGGTCCTTCTCCAGGGACAGGCCTTCCTGATAACATATCCAAAGTATGTGAGTTAAGTCTTGCCATCTTTGCTTCTAAGGCACATTCACTTCTTCCAGGACAGATTTGTTCTAGCAATTCATGGTTTGTTCTTCACCAACACCACAATAGATAGCCAGCCTACAAGGGCTAATCCTGTTTCAGTCTCAGTATTTTACCTGTTGCCTTCAGCTATGCTTCTCCCTGTGGGTGGTTCCTTTATAACAGATGGGAGCCTGTGATGGTGGGACTAAAGGCTTGTCTATTGACTCTGTGCTTCATGTAAGCCCTTGGCCACTTTCGCTTTCACAAATGGGCAACTCCAATTGGATGCACCATATGATTGTTTTCCAGTGATTCACAAGTTGTTTTTTTCAATTGATTTTTCTTGGAAAATCAATTAAGGAAATGTGGCCAAAGTCAATACAAGTGGCTGGGTAAGACAGGCAGTGCCAGAAAGCAGGTTTGATATCCTGACCACGGGACAGTGGTTTTCTGTTTATTTCCTTTCTCTCAGAATATGAATCATTACAAATAAGTAGTTAGAATTTGATTATTAATTGAATTCCTTGACTTATTAAATAACTTGTCAAAGAAAATCTTTTGACATATCCATTCAAAAGGTATAAAGAATATTTTTTAAATACTTAATACTAGATTTTAGATTTTCTTCTCTTAGATACATCAAGGAAGCCTGCAGATGATGTATATAGGGATTGAGTTTGAGCTCACTGTTAACAGTTTAAGCTTACAGTTAAGGTAGTGATATAGCAGAAACTGTTCTAAATTAAGGAGCCCTGATGGTGCAGTGGTTAAGTGCTTGACTGCTAGCAGAAAGGTCAGTAGTTTGAACCTACCAGCCACTTTTCAAGAAAAAGATGTGACAGTGTGCTTCTGTAAAGATTTACAGCCTTAGAAATGCTAAGGGACAGTTCTACTCTGTTCAATTGACTCCATGGCAATGGGTGTGAGTTTTTTGGTTTGGTTCTTTTTATTTCAGTTGGTTCTGTTGTGAAATTGCCCAATATGTTTCTTATTTGTGTTATTTGTATTCTCTCCCTCTTTTCCTGTGTTAAATTTGCCAGTGGTTTGTCAATTTTATTAATCTATTCAAAGAACCAACTTCTAGTCTTGTTGATTTTTTCTATTGTCTTTCTATTTTCTGTTTCACTTTTTTTCTGCTCGAATCTTTATTATTTCTTTTCTTCTGGTGACTGTAGGCTTTTTTTGCTGCTCTTTTTCTAATTGTTGGAGATGCTGGGTTAAGGTGTTGTTTTTGGCTCTTTCTTTTTTTGATGTGTGCATTTATTACTATAAATTGGTCTCTGATCACTGCTTTTGCAGTGTCCCAAAGATTTTGGTATATTGTGTTTTCATTCTCATTTGATTCAAGGAATTATTTAATTTCATTTTTTATTTCTTCTATTACCCAGTCATTTTTAAAGAGGTTGTTACTCAGTTTCCATGTATTTACTCTTTTTCTGTTCTTCCTATTGCTGATTTCTAATTTTATATCATTGTGATCTGAGAAGATGTTTTGCAGTATTTCAGTGTTTTTAAATTTATTAAGGCTTGCTTTATGCTCTAGCATATGTTCTATCCTGGAGAATGTTCCATGTACCCTGGAAAAGAATGTGCTGTTGTTGGTTGAAGTGCTCTGTAGATGTCTATAAGGTCAAGATGGTGGATTATATTATTTAGTTCTTCTACGTCTTTGTTGAGTTTCTTTCTAGTTGTTCTATCTTTCATTGAAAGTGGTGTATTAACATCTCCAACTATGACTGTGGAATCATCTATTTGTCTTTTCAATTCTGTTAAAGTCTGATTTATGTATTTTGGGTCTCTTTCATTGGGTGTATAGATATTTATTTTGGTTGTGCCCACTTATTCAGTTGATCCTTTAATCATTATATAATGTCCTTCCTTGTCTCTTATTGTGGTGGTTTTTGTCTTAAAGTCAATTTTATCAGAAATTAATATGGCCACATCTGCTCTTTTTTGGTTGCCATTTGCTTGATATGTCTTTTTCCAACCTTTGATTTTTAGTCTGTTTTTCTTTTTGTCTCTAAGATTTGTCTCTTGCAGACAGCATATTGATGGGTTAGGTTTTCTTATCTAGTCTGAAACTCTCTCTCTTGAGTGGTGCATTTAATCCATTGACATTCTGTGTAATTATTGACAAGTATGAATTTGTTGCTGTCATTTTATTAGTATTTTTTCATGGTGTTGCTGATTTCTTTGTTCCATATAATTTTCTGTACTGAGCTCATTTTGTTTATGAATTGTGTTATCATTTCCTCCATTGCAGCTGTTTCAGTAGTTGCTAAATATTTGTGCTTGTCCTCTTTTTAATTTGATGTGAAGGTTTATCATTTTTCTTTGAGGTTACCCTGTGATTTATGATTTTCTTGCCAAGTTTAGAATAGTCTGTTCTATCTTGCAATTTATAGTTTTCTTGCCAAGTTTAGAACAGTCTGTTCTATCTTGCACCATTTAGAAGTTCTATAACTACACTGCTTTTTCCCTCTTTTTTGGTTTGTATATATCTTCATTTGCCAATTGATGTCTCTGGTTCCCTATTTACAATCTTGTACGCTTATTTTACTTTGGATACTTCCATAATTGGGTTGGTTCCTGAGCTATGTCATCATGTGTGTTAATGGTTGGTTATTGTTTGCTATTGTTGGTTCTCTGTCCAAAGAACTCCCTTTAGCATCTCTTGTAAGGTTGGTCTGGTTTTAACAAATTCCTTTAATTTCTGCTTATGTGGAAATGTCCAAATTTCACCATCATTTTGAGGGACAATTTTGCTGGGTATATAATTCCTGGTTGGACATTTTTTTCTTTCAGGGTTTTATATATACCATCCCATTGCCTTCTCGCCCATGTGGTTTCTGCTGAGAAATCAGAGATTAGTTTTATTGGTTGCCCTTTGTAGGTAATTTTTTTTTTTTCCCATGCTGCTTTCAGGATTATTTCTTCATCTTTGGTTTTGGTAAGTTTAATGATGATACATCTGCTGATTTTCTTTTAGGGTCTATCTTTTTTGGAGTTCATAAGACTTCTTGAATGTATATATGCTCATCTTTCATCGTATCAGGGAAATTCTCTTCCGAGAAATCTTCAACAATTTTCTCTGTGGTTCTATTTGTCTCTTCCTGTTCTGGAATTCTGATTACACATAGGTAATTCCTCTTGATGTTATCCCACATGAACCTTGTTGTTGTTGTTGTTCTTGTTATGTGCCATGGAGTCAGACCCGACTCATTGCGACCCCTCTTTGGGTTTCCAAGACAGTATCGCTATGGAAGTAGATTGCCTAACCTTCCTTCCAAGGAGTGGCTGGTGGATTTGAACTGCCAGCCTCCTGGTTAGCTGTCGAGTGCCTTAGACACTACGCTACCAGAGCTCCCACATGAACCTT